TGCTGAGAAAAATACTGTGCCTGCCATTAATCACTCTCAAAAATGGTCACCGTCAGTGACAGGGTGGTTTCCTCTTTCTCCTAGTACTGGTGCAATTGCCAAATACTACCTCAGTAAATAAGAGTGTGATTGAGGCTGCCAGCGGCTTTGCCAAGAGAAATGCTTAGAGAATTAAATGGGATGTTACACGAGGGAAAGGTTGCAGTGGCCTCTGGCATCACACGGAAGGGTTTGGGAGGGAGTAGCTGAGAAGGTGAGGAGACAGAAGATGAAGATTTTTCCAACTGATATGGGGATTGAGGCTGCTCTTCTGGTATTTGTCACCATACTACTTGAACTGCAAATTGCAGAACTGTCTCCAGGATGGGGAAGAAGATGTGTCTGGACAAGCTGGGTCTAGGGCTTTCATTTAGGATTGCCTGTGATACAGAGGGTCAAATCCATCCTGTGAATAATTAGATGAATCCCTTACCTCAGCTCCTATGCTCCACTATAAATCACTGGGGTGACCGCAAAACCACTTTTCTTCTGAGACCAGTGGTTTCATAGGCAGGACTTTAGCTTGGAGCTGGTTTGTAGTTTGATTTCAGCAAAATACATCAAGATGACATGAAGTACACTCTTACCCTGGAAACTTTTCCCCGTCGATAGTTATAAATATACCACGCTATTGTGCTTGGCATGCTGTATGCTAATAGAGGTGAGGGCTCTGAAACTCATTAGGAAAGGGAGCGGGCTGCGGAGCAGAGTGAGGACAGTGTGAAGCTAAGGTTGATAACCACGGCCTTGTCCAGAATAGGCCATGGGAGTTTTCTTATCTCACTTTGGCAGGAGGTGCTGCTAGCTTCCTGTGCGAAATCAGGAGCATATGCTGCTTTCCTCTTGTTGTTTGGCTTCCTCCGCTACACAAGACGGTTCCCAGCACTGTGATTATCTTTGCATCTTCAAACATGGCACACTCTGCTTCCTCAAGGGCTTGATGTATTCTTGAGAAGCGGGCTGGCTCCCCTCCCCCAGGCCACTTCTCCGGGGCCCCCGCCGGTGCCAGCTCTGCACATCACAGACCTTTTTCTAAAGCTGAGCTGACTTCTGGTTGCATAAACCACCCCCAGCCCTTCCAAAGAAGCGTAAATCCCCAAAGCTAAGGGCGGCGAGCAGGTCTGCTGGCGAAGCTCGCCCTGCGCTGCTGCCGGCTTCCCCCGCGCTGGGCTTCTCGGAGAATTCTACGGAATTCTCCCGTAGGAGAATTAACGGCTTCTGCTGTTAGGAAGGAATAGCCGATTTGCCAGGCTCTCGACACGAAGGACGAAGCATGCCTGCGGGCGCGTGGGTGCAGGCAAACGCGCATGCGAGCACGCACGCAGGCACACGGGGAAAAAATGACTTGGGGGGTGAGAAACTTGATTACTCGGCTTCTCCCAGCTCTCGACTAAGACAACAGAGTCTGATTACCTTGCTCTGAGGTTGCATAATGTTTATAAACATACATTTGCACACCTCCCCCCGCCCAGCACTTATTATATAGGATCTCTACACGTGCCTAGTCTCACCCACAAAGTAGGGACGTGGAAGGATCTGCAGGGAAACAGGTGTAAGAAGTGCTTAGAAATGTGCTGGCAGATTATCAGCTTGTTTATCAATCTCTGTGCACACTGTGTGCTTTTTCATTAACCTGGCAGTAACCCTGCTGTAAGCTTTGCTGAAGATGAAAAGCAATGCGGCTCATCCCACAACAAAACATTTCAGGAATTCACGCGCTCAGGAGATAGGAGGAGTAAGATTCAGATACCCCAAATTCAGTGGGATTTCCCTGCAAACACAGGCAGTTCTTGCTACAAATAGGATACCTTTGCTATTTTACCAAGTGGATAGTTTGAAGTAACTTGTAATTTCTTTACAAAGCAGAAAAATATGTAGCTGATGTTATCTGAGGACACACACAATGAAACATCAATTGAATTAATGGGAAGATGATTGTGTATTTTAATCCCAGCCAGAGTAAATTTTTACATTTTCATTTCTCTCTCTTTTTTTCCAAGCATCTGCACTTAACACAAACATTTGGTTTGATGACTACATCTAAGTTCAGCAGAGACTTTTCTCTTTCTGTTACAAAATGCCTGTTGTTAGAAGCTGAAGTTAGGTTAGGGGGCAGGTCTCTTAATTACTCCCATTTGTTCCCCATCTCTACCTGATGCTGCTGGCTTAAGCACTGGCTTCACGTGGCACTGCTGGCAGCAGCAAGGGGTAGGATGACTGAGTCCTAACCTGAGTAACCAGCTCCAGAGACTGGAGGTGGCTCGTGTGCTGTCCCTAAGCCGTGTTAGTGTATTTGAGGTTCAAGTGAGACCGTTTGGCAGCTGAGGAGAGAAAGCATCTGGTTCTGCATCCAAAGAGATGAGTCTGAGTGTTGTCCTAGACTTTGCCTGGCAGCCACGCTGCAACTGATTTGTAAATGTTTGCTGATCCAGCAGACCGTGGAGCCGAAGCGATGCGTATGACAGTACTCGCATCTCCCGCTGTGTACCGTGGGCTGTCGGATAATGTATTCTCAGCTTGATTGTGACTCCTTTTTCTCCTTTTTTATTAAAACCATGGACAACAGCTATTAGGTGTATTCGATTTTCTACTATAATTGCATTAATATTGTAATTGGTAGTTTGGAGATAGTATGGTATGTGAAGTCAGTAGAGTTCACATATATGCTTCCAGGGCTAATATTTCATCTAGGCTTTTACATGTGATTTTCTTGTTATTGGGATGTTATTGTAATTATGATGGTGGTTTGTATTATGGTATTAATAAGTAATCAGCACCTCATTGTGCTAAGCATCAACAAAGACATAACACTGTCCTCATCCATAAGACATTGCAACCTAAATATATACAGTCTTTTTTTGAGGAATTATGAGGAAGAGTATAATAATAACTAAGCCTGGGGGCTCCAGAGCTGCAAGAAAGGAGATTGGAGATGCCTTTCAGAGATGCACAAGCAGTTTCTGAATATGCATTATACCTTCTTTCTGTCCTTTACCAAAGTAAGTGTCTCTGTGAGGACTTTTATAGTGGAGAGCACAATTTTTCAGCATTGTAACAAAGAAATATAAATTAAGTCTGTGGGGAAAGGAAAAAAGAAAATTAAAAATTACTTTTTAGTACGGGTGAAATGAGATTTTGGGGTCCCTGTCTTCCTGGACAGAGATTGCTCAAATATCCAGGCACAAGAATGTGCCTTTGATGATGCCTGTTTGTGTGCCTACAGTACTGGCATCATTAAATAAGTTCTGATATCTGCTATGGCATGAAAATGTTATCAGCTTGCCAACATTATCATGTCTTCTGTGTTCTAGCCTTGTTACAGAACCAGACTTCTTAAAGCATTAAATGTGCAAAGTAAATGACATCTACATTTCTGAGTAGTTTTTAACCATTTTTTTCCGCCATCTGAATGCATCAGTTGTCTTAATGCAGCTGTCTTTCATCCACTCTGGCGTCAACAATCATGTATTAGAAGTTGGCTTTTAAACCAGAGTCTGGTTGTGTAGATATGGCTTTCTTGCCATGCTATTGCTCTCTGTCCTGTCTCCATGCGTGAATGACCATGGCTGGCTCCTGTTTTCTGGCTTTTTCAGCTCACTGAGCCTCTCGATGCACATTAAGAAATTTGGGCAGACAATCATCTGTCTGTGCTAATGATTACAGCCCAAGTTAGTTTACCTATCATCATTTCTTTAAGCTGTAATATCTGCTAAGATGCTGGCCAGTTTTACGCAAAGCTACACAATTAAAAACAAGCACGTAAAGTTAGCGCACCATTGATATTATAAACAACACAAAGTTGAAGCAAACTGCACAGTTAGCTGAAGGGAAATGAACCTCATTCCTTGGTCAGGATTGCATCACATGCCGTTACCCAGTCACTGGGCTTTAAAGGTCATTTCTCCAAACAACTGATATACATGTCAGAACTATTTGATTACAGATACTACAGTCATTATCTCTCAAATCCATGGAAGATCAAAGGAACATATCGTATTTGAAAGAGCTTGACCCTGCTGAAGGGTTAAGCTCTACTGATGAAGCTGGAATTGAACAAGCAACAGCTAAATTTTGGATGAAAAGCAAAACTAGATATCCCCACAGAAGAATAGGGACAGACAGCATTAAAAATGCATTCCAATGTGTTTATTTCCATGTGTACCAAATTAGGCTTTGGGAAACAAATTAGCTCTACCATGACCACACCTGAATGTTCTGATTACAAGCCAATTTGTTGCATAAGGCAAAAATATTTTTTCCCTGAGATTTCCATTCATTAACATGACTTGGAATTTTTTTCAGATTAAATGAACATTTAAATCCCTTTGGCAATTAGGTATAGTTTTGTTTAACTTTGTTTTGCTAATTTGCAGGATTATGGTTATTTTTATTGTGTCTTGTAATCATTGAACCCCACTGTTGATATTTTGCCATTTTGTAAACTGAACTAAAGAAAACATTCAGAAATGAGAACTTGCATCATTTTTCATGGTAACAAAAAGAACCTGCACATAGTGCAACAGCATCCAATACATTATGGAATGAATCTTGAAACAAATATAACTTGGCTTGAATTCAAGACTGAAAATAATATGAACTCATGTTTGAAGCTGAGCCTGAACCATGACAATGGCTGCAAACAGGAGCATTGGAAATAGGATGTTGGTCTTGCACAGCCCTATAATTAGGCTCTGACTGTAAATTCTGACCTCACAGTCCACAGTGGGTTAAATGTTAACACTGATTCCAGAGAGCTAATATTCAAGGAGGGGCTGTAGAAGTGGATCCAATCATCAGGCCCCAAACCTCAAGGTTTAATTAAAAGTAACTATACTTGCCTGGTCATCACAGCACCTGCAGTTTCCCTGACTGATCACTGTTTCCAGAAGAATTGCTTTGTCTTATGGGTTGAATGTTTCAGTCTATCACCAAAAAAAATTTTCAATTTTTCTTGTCTTCAGGCATGGCTTTTGCTCTTATACCGAAGGATCTTTCATCCTGAAACCTGGCAGCAACATAGGAAACAGGATCCAGAGCATCACTGAGCGAACGGCTGTAATAGAGGGCAAAAATAAGGTATGACTCCTAGGAGCAGATAACCTTTCTGTATGACAGCATGTGTTGAAAAAGCACTGTAAGATGCTATCGAGGTAACAGTGAAGAAGCCAGTATTTTTATATTGTTTAGATTTGAAGAGTTGCATATGTGCAAATAACTTTCATACCTGGTATTTATCTGCTGAGATGTAGAGATGTACTTATTTCTGCATGCAGTCATATTAAGGTAAGTGACATGCCAAGAGAGCGTATCAGTGGGATTCACCATATCTGCTCTCGTAGAGCTGGTCTGTAGTATCTTGGGGCACCTCAGAAGCACAGAGGCAGGGTTCCAGGCCATCTTTACTTCATTTTGTGACATTGCACAATTTCCTGTTGTTTTTTTTTCTATGATGATGTGAATTAAACAATTTACTCTCATTAGAGACTTTATTCACAGATGTAGTCCTAGATTATTAGGTGACCAGGTCTTTTCTTGCAATAAAAATTTTATAGGGCCAAATGAATCCAGATTACAGAAGGAAAGTTTAAGAGAGATCTCAGTCAGAGACGGCATGGTGGGATTCATCCCAGTGGCATTAACCATCTAAATGTTAAAGTGTCTAGTCCAAGTCAAGCATCCCTTTATGGGCCATGGGGAGGTGCAGGCACTTCTGAAGGACAAGTAAGCCTGTAGTCTGTTGGTGTCTAATGTGGGAGAGAAAGCCAATGAGATTAACTTGCCCATGGCCATGGAGGATTGTCTATCAATCAGCTAAAACCTTCAAATCAAGATGTTTTACTGAAGGGTGCCCTAGATCAGCTGCACTTCCCTGGGTTAGACATGAGACTGATTTGGTGGGGTTGGGTAGCCCATGATACAGAGGAGCTCAGGTGAAGATGAACGATGCCATGCCACTGTGACAGCATCTGGTTTCACAGGTAGTTCAGTTTGTGGCTGTAACGTCGGAAGAGGTGATAAATTTTAAAGCCTACCTTATTCTAGGCTTGTCATTTTAAGCATACTGAAATGCTTTTTGTAATTCTGAGGGCACTGGGGATATAGGTGTCCTTTCTTGGATGGCGGCCTTCAGTCTTCTGCATATGAAAATGGGTATAAACTGTAGTTATTCTCATCTTAGGGCCCTTTCACACACCACAGAATAAATAGGGCTTTGCGTGCAGCCAAGAATCAGGCCTGGGACTGCATTTTCTCCTGCTGTTGTATTATTGAGAAAGTACCACAGGTGTTCGTGGCGCCGTTCCAGCGCATGGGAATGGGCTGGATCCCAGTGAGGCATTTGCTCTATTTAGCCGGCCACCTCTACGTGCTTAAAGATCAAGGCAAAGATGGGAGCAAACAACTTCCTAGGGGAGACTATCGTAGGAAAGCACACGAAAAATGAGACATAAGGAGGGATTTGAAGAAGGAAAGGGAAATCATTTCAGGCACAGGAAGACACAATCTATTCCAAAGGGGGAATGATGAATAGAAGATGATAAGAACCAGTTATTTTCCAGAAGGCGTCTAGCCATGCTATGGGTGAAGTCCTACCTGCTCACAGGGTGCACAAGGAGCTGTCTAATACCAGATGTCATTCTCCTTGTGTGCCATGCATTTTGGAGACAGCGGAAGAGGAGTGGCTGAAATGTCAGAGCAACTTCCAGTCAACAGCAAATAAATTCCTCCCTGGAGGAAGATGCTAATAATGGGTCCTTGCAGCAGACCTGCAGGTTTTGTTTGAAGTCTTTGGCAAGCAGCCCCTTTTTAAAAATGTGCCCAGAAATGAACCAAGGAATGGTCTCTCCATGTGTTGCATGGAAAGTTTTGCAGTGAAACTTAGCGATTCTCCTTGGTATTCCTTGTCTTCGTGCTGTTTACTTCAACTAAGAAAGGTCTACCTCTGCATTGCTTTATTCCGTTCACTCCCTATGGGTAAGAGGAGGTTAGTGAAACAATCTCTTTGCTCAGCTTTTTCACAGCTTTTTGAAGGTTTCTTCATTTCTGCTGCTCTTCCGTAGCTTTTCAAGCACAGCTGGATTGCTATTATAAGTAGAAAATGCTCTCTAAGCTTGGGTTCCTGGCCAAATTGTGAGTTGCATGATTTGTGCACGCACAGCTGCTCTAGAGCATCCAGGATTTTTTTTTTTTTTTTCTGTGGGAGTCTATAGCTTTTTACTCTTTGCAGTCAAAGTCATTCTTGGTCTCCCAGAGTAAACTCAAAGGGACACAGTTCAGACAAAACCCTTCCTCATCTGCTGGGATATTGTAAGACTGTTAATAGCGCTGAGCTCACTGAATGCAGCATGTCATCACAAGTGTCTGGCTCTGATGGACTGCTACTGTGAGCAGTTCTGCTACTGCAAACAGCTATGAACAGCTCTCTGAGGCACTTCCACATCAACGGAGTCCTGCTATCTAAACAGAGTGTCTACCCCACTTCCACATCCAAGCATAGTAAGCATGGTAAAAACAATCTCAAAGCTCAATGGAAACAACAAAGACATGGGAGACAAAGCAGTAGGAAATGGATGAAGAAACTCAAAAAGTTGCACATGGGTTAGCATGAAAGGAGAGATGGGGGTGACCACAGGATGAGATTACTGTAATCAAGGGAAGAGATGAACAAGGAATGGTCAAAAGGTTTCTTTTTTAGCAATCAAGGTAGCTGTTTTCACCTTGCTTAAAGACATTGTGCCAGTTGCCCCCGTTTCCTGTATGTGCGACATCTGAGTCCCTCCAGTTTGGCTTTTCGCTGTGGTAGGTTGATTGGTTGTTTGTTTGTCTGTGGTTATCAAGGTAGCCACAAGTATATTTTTAAAGTTAGAAAAACCTCAGACCCTGTGTCTGTACAGTTAAAGTAATGCAGGAAGCCTGTGCTACATTATTCTTCTGGTGACAGAGAAAACGTGAAAACAACAGTGTTTTAGTAACATTTCCGTTGAAGCCTCTCTAAACGGACATTGAGAAACTTGCATGGTATAATGGAAGAACTTTGCAACATGAGCCGTAATACTTAGTCATAAGACAACTCTTGAAGTGATTTGATTCCCCCACCCAAAGTTTTCATTCTCATTTTGTTGGACATTTCAGTGACTTTCTACAAAGCTGGGCTTTTCTTAGGCTTATCATGTAAACAGCTCGCAGACACTCCCCTGTCATTCAGCTGCTAAAAACCATCACTTTTCAGTGTTCCCAGCTAAAGCCAACTGCTATGTGTAACTCAGGGCTAATACTGATTATTATTATTCTTAGCATGATCAGTGTTCATTAAGATGTCAATCTGTGAATGATCTGCAATAATGAGGTACAAAGAGCTGGTGCATTCATTGGTATCAGTTGCATACATATTGGGCATGTGTTCTCTTCTGTGTGTGCAGGTACACACTGGTTTATCAACAGCTTTGAAAGGAGTCGGTACTCCTTGTTCAGGGGTACAAGGGACAGGGAGCTGCAGGAGAGGTGGACAAAGATCCTGGGCATGGGGAATGTGCAGGAGAGTGCTAAGAAGGAGAGTTCAGATGAAAGAGAGTAGAAAGTGTTGGCCAAGAAGAAAGGATGATAAATCCAAGGGAAGGGGACAGTAAGCAGGAGGGCAGTTGAGTACAGGGAAAAGTTGGCAGGAGTGGGACAAACCCACCTCGTTTTGGGGAAATAACCCACTAGAGCCACATTCTTGAGAACCTGAAATGGAACAGAGGGCCCCTGACTGCCCCATCCCTCTGCTGCTAGCAAATGTTGGGATCCCACTGACAGTAACAGGTACCATGAAAGTTGGGTCTGTGCCACAGCACATGCCTTCAGGAGCTGTGTATAAAGAATAATAATGCATGAAGTTGTGGTTTATCATTTATGTGTATGTGTGTATATATATGTGTATGGCCTTGTTTTCCACTGAATAAATACCTTACTGACACAAGTTTTTAGTGGCCCCATCCCTTGCAAGTGACAAAGCCATTTGACTTCAGGGAAAATGGAAAATAATGGCCTTGTAACAGAATTCTGCAAGACCAAACCTAGGCTCGCCCTTGTCCATCTCTGGTTTGGCTGGCAATGATGGGTCGACCTGACACGTGCTGACTGTGGGTAGTATTAAAAACTGTGACCATTCAACATAAAGGTGGAGTGCTAGATAGTCAAAAGAGTCAATCCTTCTTGGACATGACTGATAAGGTGTGACCATGCAAAACAGGACGGGTCCAACTCTCCTGCATCTTCTCTGCCAAGCCCTAAACCTCTAGCTCTCTTCCACATCCCCTAGTTACTGATGAGACGAGGAAGCACATGTTGTGTCTGTTCTCAGTCCCTACACATGCCAGCTGTCTGGCCAGTACATCTGTGTTGATTGGCCATCTGGAACCCAAGGCAGAAAAGAAAGCTGTTTAGCTCACTACAACAACACTCATTTTGATCTTTCTCCTCTACTCAACAGCTGGTTTTCATGAAATGTATGAGATTTTACGAGCTTTGAGTTGCCTGTCAATTTTGGCTGAAATTGGGCAATAGGTTCGAAAATTACTGAGCGCGTTGGGGAGGAGAGGATACTGGCAGACAGATGGACAGACAGTGTGATCTTCCTAGGAAGCCAGGCTAAAGATAGCAGTGGGAGCGTAGCTTGCCTCTCTTTCAGCACATTGTAACTTTGGGGCCTTCCTGAGTGCTACTAGAATCGCTGTCAACACTATTAAACAAATCGCTGGGAGGTGCCAGCCGAGCCGAGCCCTTCGTGGGATTAAAATCAGCAGAACTTGGCACCTGCCTCTGCTGAGCTGCAGCTCCCTCCGGCTCCTGAAATGGATCCCCTCCCTCGGCGCGCGAGGGAGGCGGGAATCGAGGGCTGCCTCGCTCTACCTATGGTCTTGGGGAGGCGGGCAGGGGGGGTCCACGGCACGGCTCTCCAGAGCATCGCCTCCACACGAGGCAGCTGGCTGCGTTCAGTCTCATGGCCTGTTTGAGCGGGACAACATGGGATGCAGAGGGAAACCGTAGCTCTGCTTGCTAAACAGCGGTGACTTGCTCTTCTGCACATATCCGTGTCCTGCTCTTGAAGATATTTTGGTGTTTGCTCTGTGGCGGTCCCGAAGGTGAAGTGTGTTGCCCAGATGTTTTGCACTGATGCTCCTTGCCAACGCGTGAGGCGTGCAGATCATACGTCTTTGGCATAAGCAGACCAATCCAATGGTGTGCTGCCAATATTTCAATATGGGTCTTCCTAAATAACATATAAAATAATAAATTCAAGGGGGTGAGAAGAGCATATTTTCATTTATTTCTGTTTGTTGGGTTTTTTTAACAAATACATCTTCAAAGCATAACTAGGAGAGAATCAAAAATATTTGGCAGACTTGCACTAACTTGCTCAATGTTGATAGGCCAGTATTTTGCTTTTTAAATGTATGGGCTGTTTAGAGAAGTTAGGACAGCAATCTCTGAAGGGAGCGTGTTTATTTCAATGTCTGCAGAGGCCTTCTACAAGTCAGGCAACAGTCAAGTTGCCAACCATTTTCTGAAACCTCCTCTTGCTTCTCTGCCATCAGCTGGAGCAGTGGGAATCCTCTATCTAAGCTACTTTGAGACAAGAGAAATTCAAGCAGACCCACCAGGGGAAAGACCAGCCCACCCTGGCTCCAATCACAACCATCATGCCAGTTGCTTTGCACTATCTTCCCCCCCGCAGTCTTTTCGTCATTGGTTTCCACCACAAACAAATGCATAAATTCCTCTTCCATCTCTCAGGTTTTCTCCTTTACACCTCTTTTATTTGCCAGCAGAAGCAGCAGCAGTATGGGATTTACTTCCCTAGCCCCTGGCTTTGAGATGACCCTGTAGCATAGTGCTTCAGCTGAGATGATGGGTGCAGAAAGGAGGAATCAAGGATCAAAGCTCTGGTGGTAAATGCGGTTTGTGGACAGATGACGCTCAAGATGCCGAGCATGCCAGGAAGGATTTGCCCTGTTCTGTCTGCTCATGGCAACTGGATTCAGACTTTCTGTGTATAATGTGGTTGCAAATCCAGGGCCTGAAACTTTCTGCTGTGAAGACAGATGATACAAGGCTGCGAGAATTTTTCTCTTGCTCCTTTTGCAGCAATAGCTGTATAGAGGAACTATGCAGCACAGACTGATCTCAAACAGCCATAATTGCTCAATAAACAACAACATGCCAGGCTTAGTTTTGTACACATGTCTTCTCTGGTGGGTTTTGGCTGGCATCCACAATGCAGAACACAGACTGCACCACTGGAGGGCTCACAAACTATGTAAAGAGATGTTATCTTATCCTTATGACTAATTTATAAGCTAAAAGATTTATGCAGAGACATGTTGTCTCCAAAATACTCTGTTCTGTTGCAAAGTCAGTCTTGCTTTTTCCTAGACACTAAGGGTTTCTCTGCCTTAGTCAAGTAAACATACCAATGACTGCTCTCTGGCACTATGGCCTGTGTTCCTAATGTTTATCTCCCTCGACCTCCAAAAGATGTTGGTTGCATGGAAATTGCCTGTTGGAAGTGATCCTTGGCCTGTGCTAGAGGAGTATTTGGGACAGTGCAAGTTGGTCAAAACCAAAACAATGCTGGGGAAAAGCTAACAGTTTAAATCACTGAATTTCAGTGCGGAGGAATGTTGTCTAGAGCCATTCAATACACAAGAAAAGGCATAATCTGTAAGCACTGTGGTCAGTAACTGCAGTCATACTGCTTTAGTGTAACCGTATGTGCCACCCTCAGTGTAATAAAAGTAATAATCACATCATAGCTGGAGCACTAAAACTCAGATAGACACAATTTTTCATTAAAAACTAATACCTAATAGTGTCGGGACAAAATACACTTTGATACTACCAAAAACTTTCCAAACCATTGGAGTAATTGTGGGAGAGATAACTGAAATTTTTCAGGCTCAGAAATGCTCTGGTTCTGGGTATAGTAGGATAAAGACAAGGGTCCTGGAGTCAGAGGATAAGAGCTTCATTCTCCTTCACTGTGCATTTCAGGTCACTGTTTTTAGCTGGGCTAAGTTGCTGTAAGGTAATACCAGCTAGTGCAAAAAAGGCTAATTTTGTGGTGGAAAGTCTGGGATGGCAGAAGCAGTGTTTAACCACCCATGTTAGCCCTCTGGCAGATGTTATGGGGCTTCCTTCCGTTCTGAGTTCGTGTTGATAAAACGGCTGCAGGAATCCTGGTGCTGGGCCCTGTGTCCACACTTCACAAAATCATGTTTAAAAACTGGAAGAAATTCAAAGACTATGACAAAATATAGACAGGGCTGGACCCACGCTTTATAATTAGGAGTTTATAGAGGTCAGCCTACTGAATTTAGCAAAAAAGGATGAATTTTTTCTTAAGGGCTGTAATTATCTATCTGGTATTACTGAGCCTCTTTCATCTTACAGAAGAGCCAAAAAGGTAGGTTAGAAAAATTCTAGCTAGAAATAAGGTGTAGTTTGTTAGCAGACAGGTAGCTGACCATTGAGACAGCTTAACAGGGTAGAGGTGCTGTAGTCTTGAATTTACCATAGGGCAGCTTTCTAAAACAAATAAGCCAAAATCAAACTACATGACTCCACTGTGTTTTCTCAAGTAGTAGGGAAAGTAATAGACTCTTTCTACTGAAGAATGTTTCGGGAAACCATAAGATCTATATTATTTTGAGGTTCAACAAGGAGCTTGGGAATAGCCATGAAGTCTCTGAGTAGGAGACACAGAAGCAGTGCAAATGTTCAGCCAGTGTTTACATAGAAATGCAGATAACTGGTCCTTATTTATTACTGACTCACTCTCTTGTGTTTGTCTCTGGACTCCAGCTATCAGGCAGACTTAAAAGAATGTATTAATTGCACAAAAATGATTTTGAAGGTTTTTAGAAAAGCCAAATAATTCTAAACCACGGGATTCTGCGGCCACACAATTTCCCTTCGTCACTGTCCCAGCTCTGCCTGTAACTCCAGCCAAAGCATGTTTTACAGAAGCAGTAAAATGGAGACAGAAAGACAGAAAATTAAGCTACTGAATTGTATCTGAGAGCACCTCCCATTACTAAGCTCCATGTGCATGCCCCATGTCTCAGCTCCATATCAGAATGACACCTCAGTTGTTTCTGCATAAGTCCCTTCTTTCACTTAGTGCTCAAGCCATTAGACCATGGCTTTCCATCACTGTGAAGGTATAACTCTTACTATTACGATGGGGTTTATTTTTCTGAAGGCACATCAGGTGTTGTTAGTCCATGGTTTTCCAAGGTCTTATCTTGCAAGTCATATCACTTTGTGAAAATATTTAGTGTGCTGAACCTCTGAAGGTGGTGATAGAATACAACATAAAGAAAACTGACATATTATTATTTAATAATAGAAATATTAAGTCCAAGAAGAGGAAACAGTCCAAAAGAGGATGAGTAAACATCTCTTTTGCCTCTGTCCTTTCTCACATGACACGTATGTGAGAAAATTAAAGAGAAATAAATGCATTTAGTGCCAAATGGAGTTACCTTTTTCCCAGCATTATCCAAGAGCCTGAGGTACACCTCACCTTTTCCCTTTGCAGTCTGGCTCTCCTACAGGCTGCTTATCTCCTTGGGCGAACCGTGTTGTGTCATGCTTCATGTTTTGTAGCTTATCATTACATCAGCAGCAAGAGATAAATCAATCTGAAAGACACATTCAAAGATTTTTGGTTATGATGGTTCTGATAATATAAAGGTCACCCAAGGAGCTTGTTTCCTGTTATTCTTCCACCCTTTCCAAAACTATATATGGTGACATCTCCTTTAAATAGCCCCAGTGGTGCCCATCACTGAACAAATGGAGAAGGTGGATCATGGGACTGTCAACGGTGACTTAGGAAAAAGAGAAAGGAAGCTTTAACCGAGTTCCTGAGCCAACGAGAGCTAAACCTCTTCTTTCTTTCACAGACTGCTAGCACTCTCATTGTAGCTGAAGCCAAATCTTCTGGGATCTACAGCTGTGTGGCATCCAATAAAGTGGGAAAAGCTGAAAGAAACGTCAGTTTTATTGTAACAGGTAAGATCTAGTCCCCACTAGACCCAAATGTGTTTCCTGGTCCTGGGATTATAACTGTTAGGCTGTTGTGGCTTTTTCATATACCACAGTTTGAGAATTGTTGTAATGTGTGCACCTGTAAACTCATACCACGCTTTTGGGTGATCCTGGAAGGGTTTTTCACAGCAGCTGGTCTGGATTTCTAAGAAGGATGCCAAATTTGGTGAATGACTCATCACTCCATCAAGTATCCAGCATGACACAAATTACTCACAAATATAGCAACCTGTAATTCCCCCTTTTAAATCACCTAGTCTCTGCAGTCATTCCATATGTGAAATTTTACTGTAGTTTCATATGCCATTAAGCCAGTTTCATGTGTGATATTGACAGTGTCTACAGCCTCATCCTGCTGCCAACCAGGAGGTCTCACAACGTAGTGTCCAGGGCAGCACCGGTGTCTGCAGGCAGTGTAGTGCCAGAGGAGAGATGCCTGGGGTACCTGGGCAGCCCCTCGCAGCAATCAGAGACTATGGCAACTTGTAGGTAGAAAAGTGGCAGGGTACAAACTACAGAGTTTTGTTCCCTCTACTGAGAAAGACAACCTTGGATGTCATTTGGGCCATGGCACTGAGAAGACTTGTGTTAGCTGCATGTATGAGTATGCTTCCAGTTATTTTTCCATTACTAGATGTGTTTAAATGTTTTCAGGTTCAGAAACAAATTATTAAATGTTTGACTTCAGGAATTACTGAAAAAAACCCACAATGAGATTTCGAGAATGACTACTACATGACTTGGCAGCATAATGTCTACACATACCATTCCAGAGGATTTGTTTTCTGGTGAAGGATTTTATTTTGGTTTTGTTCGCAAAGTGATAGTTTATAGAGCACTTAGGCTGATGACAACTTTCAGGGTAGGTCATTAAAGCATGTAATTCATTTGGAAATATGAGACAAGACAAAAAGGTTAAAATATTCTGACTTTAATCCCCAAATCATAATCCTGAAGCTGAAAAGGAAAGGTAATTTTAATGGATGCCTTTTAATTTTTGCTTTCTCTTATCTGTTTTTTTGTTGTCAATCTCTTGCTTATCATTCTGATGAGGGATTTTAGTGAAACTCATTCTGTTACTGTAGTGAGAGATATCAAAAGAGAGTAGACACATGCTCACTAGATTTGGTTAAAAAAAAGGAAGAACACTTCTTCGAAAAATGTCCACTCTCCCCATTTTGTGGACCAAAATCTATATTTTTTCAATATTCTGACTAGCTGCAATAGAATCATAGAATCATAGAATAACAGGTTGGAAGAGACCTCAAGGATCATCTGGTCCAAACTTTCTTGTCAAAAGCACGGTCTAGACAAGATGGCCCAGCACCCTGTCCAGCTGAATCTTAAAAGTGTCCAATGTTGGGGAATCCACCACTTCCCTGGGGAGATTATTGCAATGGCTGATTGTTCTCATGGTGAAAAAACCTTCCTCCTGTGTCCAATCAGAATCTCCCCAGGAGTAACTTGCACCCATAACCCCATGTCTTTTCCATGTGACTCCTTGTAAAAAGGGAGCCTTCCATCTTCTTTGTAGCCACCCTTTAACTACTGGAACATGGTGACAAGGTCTCCCCTAAGCCTTCTTTTCTCAAGGCTGAACAAACACAGTTCTCTCAGCCTTTCCTCGTATGGCAGGCTTCCCAGTCCTTTGATCACCTTCGTGGCCCTTCTCTGGACCCTCTCCAGCCTGTCCATGTCTCTTTTGTGTAGTGGGGACCAAAACTGAACACAGTATTCCAGGTGTGGCCTGACAAGCGCTGAGTAGGATGGGATAATGACTTCTTTATCTCTGCTGGTGATGCCCGTGTTGATGCAACCCAGCATCCTCTTGGCTTTCTTTGCCGCAGCAGCAGCAGCACGCTGTTCACTCCTTGAGCCTGTTGTCCACCAGAACCCCCAGGTCCCTTTCCACAGAGCTGCTCCCCAGCCAGGTAGATCCGAGCCTGTGCTGCGCTCCTGGATTATGTTTTCCGAGGTGCAAGACCTTACCTTGTCCTTGTTGAACTTAATAAGGTTCTCGTTAGCCCACTCTTCCAGCCTATCCAGGTCTTCCTGCAGGGTGGCTCTCCCTTCCAAAGTGTCCACTTCCCCAATCAGTTTGGTATCATCAGCAAACTTCATCAGGGTACACTTGACACTATCATCCAGATCACTTATGAAGATATTAAGCAACGTTGGACCCCACTTGTGACAGGTCGCCAGTTGGAAAAGGAGCTATTTACCACCACCCTCTGCGTGCAGCCTGTCGGCCAGTTCCCCACCCACCGCACAGACCACTTGTCTAGGCTGTAACGCATCCGTTTCTCTAGGGGGAGGCTGTGAGAAACGGTATAGAAAGCCTTGGAGAAATCCAAGTAGACAATGTCCACTGCTCGCTGCGCATCAACTGAGCAGGTTATTTTGTCATAGAAGGCGATCAGGTTTGTGAAACGTGATTTATGCTTGGTGAATCCATGCTGGCTTTTCCCAGTCATGTGCTTCATTTGACTTGTGATAGCCCCCAGGAGGATTCATTCCATAACTTCAGGGACTGAAGTAAGACCGATGGGCCTATAATTTCCTGGATCTTCCTTTAAGGCCTTCTTGTAGATGGGGGTGACATTAGCCTTCTTCCAGTCTTCTGGGACGTCCCCCAGTCTCCATGACTTCTCACAGATTATGGAGAGCAGCCTTGCAACGATGTCAGCCAGCTCTCTTAACACCCTTGGGTGGATATTGTCAGGGCCCATCGATTTGTAGGGGTCAAGCTCCTGTAATAGTTCACATACCAACTTTTCCTTCACTGACAGTGGGTCTGTGTTTGCATCAACCTCAATTTTTGTTCCCAAGGTCTGGGCCCCAACAGTGCTGGTAAAGACAGAGGTGAAGAAAGTGGTGAGAACCTCTGCCTTCTCAGTGTTGTTGGTGACTAATTCACCTCTCCTGTTTAACGGCAGACCAATATTTTCCTTCTGTTTCTGCTTGTTGTTTACGTACTTGAAGAACCCTTTCTTGTAGTTTTTGACATGCCTGACCAATTTCAATTTGAGCTGGGCTTTTGTTTTTCTAACTGCATCTCTGCACACCCTGGCTATGCCCTTGTAGTTCTCAACGTGTGTTCATCCACTTTTCCATGTCTGGCACACTTCTCTTTTGGTTTTGAGCAGACTCGGAAGCTCACAGTTAAGTCAAGGGGGGTCTCTTGCTCTGCCCTCTGCCTACTTTCCTTACCTTTAGAGGGGATGAACAGGTTTTGTGCTTCCAGGAGAGCATTCTTGAAAAACTCCCAGCACTGGCTAGCTCCTTTATCCTCCATAGAAGCTTCCCACAGAACCCCTCCCAAGTGAGCTCTGAGCTCTTCTAAAATCTAAAACCTTTGTCTTAGTACTAACCTTCAACTACTACTTAGTACTAACCTTGCTCAGCAGGATCCCAGACCACAATATTGTGATCACTGCAGCCAAAGCTATGACTAACTGAGATATTACAAAGCAGGTTTTCTTGGATTGTGAGTATCAAATCCAGTAGTGCTTCACTCCTGGTTGGCACATCTAACATTCATATGATGAAGCAGCCCTCTATGCATCCCAAGAACTTGATGGATGACAGGTGAGCTGCTGTATTGTTCTTCCAACAAATGCCTGGGTAGTTGAAGTCACCCATAAGAATCAGGTTCTGCTGACCCAAATATTACTTTGTTGGCATTATCATCTTGGTTTGGAGGCCTACTGTAAGATCCCCCTTGGAGGCGACCCCTCTGATCTTGACCCAGAGGCATTTGACAGGGCTTCCACAATCACTGTAGTTGACTTCTATACATTCAAGGTTCTCCTTAACATAGAGCGTGACCCCTCTTCCTCTTCTTCCCTGCCAAGGTCTTACAAAAAAGCCTATAGCCATCAATCGCAATCCTCCAGTCATGTGAGTTGTTCCACCATGTTTCAGTTACTCCTATGATATCATGACTTTCTGACTGGGCATGGAGGTCCTGTTTGTTCCCCAGGCTGTGTGCATTGGTATACATACACTTGAGGTGGTTGGTCTTCTGGTTCTCATCTTGGGAGGCAGCTAAGGAACATTTGTCACTGCTCTGGTTGGCCTGTCTTATTCCCCAGTTGGTTGCAATGGCATTGCCACTTTGGATCCCACCTCCTGAGTCCTTCAGTTTAAAGCCCACCTCACCAAGTTGGCCAGCCTGCTGCCAGAGATTCCCTTGCCTCTTCTAGGCAGGTGGATCCCATCCCTCCCTAACAGACTATAGTCATCAAAGAATGTCCCACTGTTATAAAAGCCAAAACCCTCATGACGGCATCAGCCACAAAGCCAGAAGTTGATTTGCATTATATGTCTATTTCTGGCTGCACCCTTTCCTCTAACTGATAAAATGGAAGAAAAGATAACTTGGGCACCAATACTTTTCGCTTGCACCCCCAGGGCTTTGTAGTCTTCCTTGATTCTGCCCAGGTTCCATCTGGCAGTGTCATTCGTGCCCACATGAAAGATTAGCAATGGATAATAGTCTGTGCTCTTGACAAACTGTGGCATCCTCTCAGCAATATCTCCGACCTCAGCTCCCAGAAGGCAGCATACCTTTTGTGACCCCTTGTCAGGTCATCCGATGGGTGCCTCAGTTCCCCTTAACAGAGAGTCACCCACTACGAGCACTTATCATTTCTTTTTGCAGTATCCACTGTGTGCTGCCGGTACAGTTTCGCCTTGCAGACCTTGCTCGTGGGTGTCTACGACTGTTAAAACTTCATATCATAACACACTTCCACATTTAGAAAGTGCCAATTATCAGTAAATATAGAAATTTGGTAACAAGCATGAGACGTATACACAGATAAGTGACACATAAGCAGGTTGTTCGTTAAAATACAGAAACAAGAAGAATATCTCCATGTTCTATTAATGGATGTGACAAGAACATTTGCCACCTTGAAGATGACTGCTGTCCCTGCTCTCAAATCACAGATTTGCTTTCGTTCTATCCCTATCCTTATGTTGTGTCTGTTTGGACAGAAAGCTAAACAACAATGCATAGTTCTCCATAAATTAATGTGTCAATGGCACTGTATTATCATCTTTATGTGGGGACTTCACATGTAACTTTGAGCCGTCACTGATAGTCACTCACTGGGGCTATTCCTCTTCTAATGTGCAAGATGCTGAATTTGGCCTTCTCTAGCTCTTAGTCCTCAGTCTTCAAAATGCCACATGGAAGATCCTGAAAACAAATGAAGCTGTGTTTTGATGGGCCCCATTCACTGTATCCAAATCTCTCTTTCAAAGTTTTGCTGGTGGTTTCAATATTTTAGTGCAGTGACATGAAGGGGTTAGTTTGCCTACTTAAATCTCACATTCTTAGGTCTTGACCAGGGATAGAAGGAAAGCCCTCTCCTTGATACCAAAGCTTGCATGAGAACATACAGGATATTATGACTTTCCTTTGAAGACTCTTGTATTGGCTGGTGCTCAGAAAGAGGAGCGGCAGCTTTATTATGTCTTGGAAATTGTTAATATCTTGACTGGTGGCAAACTTTCTGTATAGGGTGGTGAACATGAAATGCATTTGTCCTTTGAGTTCCTGGAGCTGGACACTTCAGTTGTGTGACATGGAAAGTCCTGATCATCTGCTGATGCTCAGTTGCACTGATTGAAGGCAGTTGAAACAATACTGCTGTTTTGTCCTTACAAAAATCAAGTTAGGCTCATTCTTCTGTTTTGTGCACATAGTGCATCAGTTGGGCTCGCATGGTGTAATCATAATTCTCCTCCACCAGGCTGAGCCCAAACTGCTGTGGCTGGGTAGCAGCCTGTGTTTCACGTCAATGAAACAAATGTGTCTAGCATTTGCTGAAAAACACATTGAGGGAATAAAAAAATGAGATCCCTAAGTTCTGATGGATGTGAACAGGACACTGCAAAGTATTTCCTTCTGATGAGTCCAAACCCAATACTTCAGGTCTTGTGTGACAGCTTGGGGCTAGTTTATCTTATGTTGTTGGGTCTGCTGGCGCCGTATGAAGCCAGCATGAACCACACAAAAGTAAGTGTCTAAGAGAAGTGTCTAAGCTGGAGACGGTGATCCCTTGTAGGAAGAGAGGCTGCTGCCCTCTGTAAAAGGCACAAGCCAGAAAGGACTCCAAAGAGCAGATGGAGACAAAGCCTGTCCTGAACAGGAGGAATGCCTTTCCTCGGAGGCAATCTCCTTCAGGCCCTGTCCTGGGGATGAGAAAACGCACGTGCTCCAGTGAAGTGGCTCTGGTGGTGTGAGGAGTCTCTTTTCTAGAGGCAGAAACCATTGGGAAGGTGGTGGGAAGGCAGAACTTGTCCCAGCAGCCCTAGTTTGGCGATGGCATGTTCCACCCCTTCAGGGAAACGTGGATGTGAGGGAAATAAGTGCAAGAAGGTATAGTGGAGAGGACCCAGTAAGAACAAGTCCTTTCTTAAGTTATTGTAAATCTCATTATTCCTGGGCTTGAAGTGCAAGTTGCGTATGTGTTTCTGGGAGGTTTGAGAGTGGTATAATTTTATACACTCTGTGCCTGAGGGTGTAGGGTATGAAGTCCATGGGCTCCGGAGTAGGTTTTCTTTCCTATGGCCTCTGTCAGATGAAGGGCGTTTTGGGGATATTGTCACACTGACTTATTTCTAAAAGCAAATCTCTGTTCAGGGCACAAAAGTAGCTGTGAGCCTTATATAAAAGTAATGTCGAAAGGTGATTTCTGAAAGCCCTCCTGCTCGCTGATACAGAAACAGTCTCTGTAACAACACCTTTATGCCAAATTTAACTGTGATAGCCCCCTTCCCTCCAGCCTGCCCCTTTCCCTACATTTTGGGCTGTTTTGCTGGCACACAGCAGGCCTATGGGTGTGTTTGCAATTACAGAGGGTGAAACAGGAACAGCTCTGCCTTATCTCCCTGGTTTCCCAATGTCACTAAGCGCATTTTATTTTGAGATTCCTGATGGTGCTTGGCAAAGATAAACAAAATCTTCCATCAGGAAACCTGGGAGCTATTTCCACAGGAAGCTTCAAATCACTAAAGTAAATAAAACCCTTTTACATTATTCCCAGCCACATTATTTAGCTAGCCTGAGCCTGTAACAATTGGTGAGAGGTGTCATATATTAGGGGGCTTGTAGCCTTTAAACAAATGATTCTCTTGGAATCCTGTGCATTTTGCTTTTGTCCCTGGATTTATTCAGAAAATAGTCTTTCTTTGGAGAAGACACATCTAGGAAGAGCTCCAGACCTGACAACATGGAAGTAGTTGCAACTATATTATTCTGTTGGCACGCTATCCTTTTACGTTAAAAATAGTTCATTTGCCTCAGTCCCAGAGGATCTTCAGTTTCATCTTAAGAGTTTTGCTTGGCTCTTCCTAGTTTTTACTGAGTACTGGCATCTGCAAAAGCCAAAAATTAGCAGTATTTCAGACCCGTACCCTGGCTTTCCCAACACACATCAGAACAGTTTGAGATTTACTGTAAGACGCAGCAATTTCTTTCACCCAAATACTTACCCATGATTAAAACTTTGGAGCCTTGACTGGTTTTAAGTGTGTCTGAATTCAATGCTTTTTAACAGGATCAAGCATAGGATTCACTTCATCTAACTTAAGCCTTAAAGTTAGGTATCTAAGCCTAAGCTGGTCATGTAGAATCTCTTCATAACTAAGCATGATGGATCAGGATCTCTGGAATTTGACTCATCGTGAGGCGATGGGTTGCATTGCCCTCTGGAGGTGCCTCTGTCACTCCATGGGCTGTAAACTTTTGCCCATGCACAAACCAACTATATTCAAGTAGATGTCAACATTTTGATGGCTTAGGCTAAATATGCTGTACCCCATGTAAGGAAAGGTTTCATTTTAGTAGCACTTCCAGTCAACATGTTCTTAAATGAGATCAGAATCTGGCATCATGCACTCTTACATACCAAAAGGATGCTGATGATAGTCACTCATAGATGAGTTCACTAAATTTAAAGATTTTTCTTATAGTTTTTTTTGCTGGACAGAGGAAAGAAGGGGGTCCCAATGAAATGTAGGAGGAACAAGTCAACACAGGCTTTAATATCCAATCTAATATGTTAGTGTCACCGCCTCCATTAGGTTGATCTTTGGACTACACACGTGAACTACAGCTCATGATAGGCACACACATTGCTCCCACTGCAAGGGCATGATGAGTTCAACCAACAGAAATCAGGCCTCTCCCTGGAAGGCATCTACAGTCAATGGAAATTTCAATCCAGGACTTGCAGGAGCTCATTTACCCTCTGCTTAACACTCAGGGCTAAGTGTGGAAAAGAGGATATTAAGGGGAGAAACTGATGCCAGACCTTCAACAGGCAGAACTTTGTTTGAAAGGCAGCAGTGGGCAGGTCATGTTCATGGTCCCCCTGGGAAGGCAAGGCAGCTCAGTTTGCATTGTGGGCATTTAGGGAGAAGCTTTCTGGTGGATTGGTCAACCAATGAAAGAGGTTACTGAAAGAAGATGTGGGATATTATGTACTGGAGATCTACTCTTTATGTGTCCCTGCTGATGTGACATTGAACCCAAAGCAACATTGGTAAGCCTGGAATGGGATGAAAGTTGGCATTGGGCTGTTCATGCTCTAAGAGACAAGAAAAGAAGGCATAATTCTCCTGTACAAAAGACAAAACCATTCTTACAATTTTGAGACAAGTTCACAGCCAAGTGCTGTAGCAATTAGCAGTGAAAGAACAATTGAAAATGGCCAAAGTCAATGTCACTTGACCGAGAAGAAGGAAATTACTTTATCAGAATATTGGCTACAAATAAACCAAGAGAGGTTGCACTCTAGGAGTAAAACTTGGAAGTGCTTTCTCTCAGGAACTTGCTCCTACTTTCACTGAGGTCAGTGGCGTAACTCTCCCTCGCTGGAGGGATGAGCCCCAGGTGGAGGCGGCCGTGGGTCTGCGCCACTCCCCAGGTGGAGGAAGCTGCGGTAACCTTACAATGAACTGCAAACACGACTTTTGTCAAGTATGACTTTTTACATGCCTGAACTCTCTGCTCTGAAAAATCCTTGTGAAAACGTAACTTAGTAAATGGTTAGTGCGACGATCCTTGATTTCTCTCGGGTGGAAATATTGTCCACCTGTGTTTAATGCCAAGCAGCCTGAATAGAGTGATCTTCATCTTAGCGCTTGCCCACACACAGCCGACCACCCAGGCTAGAGGGTACCGTTTCTGCTTTCCTCTTGGGTGGCTGACACACTTTAAATGCATGGAGGGTAAATACCTCTGTTCCAAGGGAAATCTCAGGCGTGTAATCACAGATTCAGTAATTTCTCAACATTTGAAGCATTTTTAAGAAATAGACATAATTTGTCTGAATACTTATGAATAACGAGAAAACAATATAACCAAGCGTGATGAACTGCAGTATTTTTCTACTGTGCTCTTGAGATTCATTTTCTCTCATGCAGTTCACAAGCTGGAGCTGAGATCAGAATTTTCCTCCTTTTTCATAGTCCCACTGCGCTGTCTTTAAATAATTCTGCTTCTGGTACCTTGCCCCAGTCTGTCTTAACTTGGCATAACATTTATACAAACTCATTACTTCCAAGAGCGACTTCAGTTTACACCAACTGATGTCTGAGCCCAAGTGTCTCATAGCTCCAAGACAAATTATAAGAATAGCTGGAGCCTAGCATAAAGGAAAGATTAGAGACTTCAGCAGGAAGACAACGACATTGATCAGTTCAAAGGCTTCCTGATAAAGGGGAAAATATATGCCGTGTTAATTTTGGCTCATTCATTTCATATAAACTAAAAAGTGTTCTTGATTTTTGACAGATGTACCGAGTGGATTCCATATTAGTTTGGAAAAAATGCCCATTGAAGGAGAGAATTTGATATTGTCCTGTTCAGCCAACAAATTCCTGTACAAAGATATTGCTTGGATTTTACCGAGGACGGTCAACAATCAAACGAAAGCAAAAAGGTCTCTCAACAAGGAGTACTCCGTCACCCTCACTCTGACCATCAAGAACGTTTCCCTGGCACACTCGGGCACCTATGCCTGCCGAGCAAGGAACATATACACGGGGAAAGAAGTGCTTCAAAAGAAAGACGTTACAATCAGAGGTGAGCACTGCAACAAAAAGGCTGTTTACTCTCGGATCCTCAAATATAAAAGCACAAGGAATGATTGTACAACACAAAGCAATGTAAAACATTAAAGGACTCATTAAACAGTAACAGGTGTCTCATATCATCTTGATTTTTTATTACTGTTGCTACCTTTCAGGCCCTGAGGTGGTGCACATTCCCCCATGGGTTGGACGTAGGAGGAATAGCAAACAAAATCGTAACGCATGAGCTTCCAGTTGAGTTCAGACGGGTGTTTTCTGCTTTGACAAGGCACGTGGAAGCTGGGGTTTGGAAGATCCCCTGTGCTACATTTTGCATGTTGTTATTTTTTCTCTTGCTGTCTCCTACTGAGCGATAAGGAAACTTTGGATCAATCTTTTCTTCCACTTTGATATCGGCCTCATCAAAAGTGTCAAAGCTGAATAAACTGATTAACTTTAAAAACTGCTGTTTTCAGTCAACAATGGACATTTAATAAGTTAACTTGAATGTGCGGAATGAGCACAATTCAGTTTGAGATTGACTGGACTACATATTTTTTATTTTAATCTGATCTTGATGGACTTATAAATATTACCTGCTGAGCAAGTTCTAATGCTTATTTATTTGAAATTATTTTCTACACTAAAGTACATTAATCTTAAAAAGTATCTTCTAAAAGAAGTATGCAGGGAAGAAATAAAAATGTTGATATAATGCGCAGACCTATCATATCATTTATAATAATGATGATTTTAAAACTGACAGACGTGAACCATGTTTCTCCAAATAAATCCAGGTAGACTTCCGGTTGCTGTGTTGGTCAATTTTTAAAGTCAGTTCTGCACTAATGTAAAAAGCTACTGATAAAAGTGTGAGTATTGCTCCTGGCCTGAAGATTCAGGAATTTGTGATGTTGTAATTATTTTATTAAATGAGAAATATTACACTAACATGACTGACAAGGTTGCAGCCAGCACAGTGATTTGTTTAATATGTTTTTTAAAATACAAACTCAAAATTGAAGCCATTAAAAATATTCACTGCTTTTGGTATGCAAATGACAATTGGATTTATTATGGGGATTAAGAACCAGCCAAACTGCTGAAGGAGAATTAAGGGCAACCTAAGACTTCCTTGTGAGTGTTTCCCCTTTTTTTCCTTCGTCATGATTTTGCTATGAGATGTTTCTGTGTGTTATAAATTCTGTATAAGGAAGAAGTTACTATTTTTAATAGATCTGATAACTTTATTTTTTTACAATACATAGCTTTTATTATTTTTGGTTACATTTATGATTGATCGTTTATATAGCATTTACATACGCCATAACAAAACAGACCGTAGTGACCAAAATAGCTACAGCAAAGGAACAAAGTGGCTGTGCTTTTAAAATAGAGGGTGACAACATGACAGTTTCTTGCGCTTGGGAACTCACCAGACTATTTCCTCCTTTAGGTATCGAGCCTGTGTCCCACGGCTAAACTTGTCTTTCACGTGGGAATTGCTTTTGTCAAGTGTGAAAGGGTAAACAATAGCATTTCCCCATAATGCCAGTTTCATGGAGCCTAAAATGCTTAGAAAACAATTGATAACCTGGAAGTTGTCAGAGTAAAGAAAAGAATAATCATTTATATCTTGAAATGTCACCTATAGCCTGCTTGTATACAGTAGCTCTTTTGTTCATTATTAGTGTGATGGCTTCCAGAAACAATGTGTTCTTGCAAAGGGATCTGGCTCTCTTTTTTTCTAAACCATGCCTAAAAGCAAGCGAAATCATTGGTGACTGCTTAAAAATGGGGCAAGTGCGCTCTTTAGCATTTGCAAGTCTTCAGAAGAATTACAATACCGAATCCCCTTTTTTATGAGGCTATTTTGTGAAAAGACATTTGATGGCAAGGTGGGTGGTGATGACAGGACATTATGAATTTTCCATGGCCTTGGGAGCCAGAGCGCGATGACTTGTAGCAGCCAGTTGCCAGGCAATATGAGTTTGGGTCAAAAAAAAGAGATGTGGTGATTAGTGTTCCTCTGTGAAATTGTTGTGAATTTGTGCATCACTGGTGGGTGGACGTCCTACCAGCCTGGTCTCAACCAGTGCTCGGAGGGCCACGCTGTGCAAGGGTGTCGTAACATCCCGATGTGGCTGCCCGTGTTGGGAGGCACAGAGAAACCTCACTGGAAACGTTTGAGGAAAGCAGTTCTTGGTGGCCAGATAAAAACTGCTGATGTCACTTTTGATGTCCTCAGATGACTGGAGAATCTCATCGGTTTGGGGAGTTTCTCTGCCTTCTGTTGTGTAATATATTATTTAGGGAGAAAGGTGTGAATTATATTTCTTTTTTTTTTTTTTAAGTGTTAAAACTAAAGCTTGTATTTATATTTTTGTACTGATTAATAAAAATAAGCGAACAGACAATATAATCATAACAAAGGGCAAAAATGGACAGAACGCAAAAGTAAACCCCCAAATGAACAAATTGTAATGTTTACCCCTTGTTTGCCATTGTTTGCTTTTGGAAATGCAAATTTTCCCTTCTTACCACCCTGGGCTGGCTGAGTGCTCTGACACCAGCATCCCCTTCTCCCCTCTGCGACCCCCCCCGTTGCTCCCCTGGGCCAAACTCTGCCTACAATGAAGTTCCTCGGTGTAACTGAGAGCAGAGTTTGGCCTGGCAAGGCAGCATTCATGGGCAGGCATGAGGGCTGGGGATGAGCCCGGGGGGCTGCCCTGGGTGCTGAGCCCTGCACTGTGCACCCTGGTGGCCAGGGCAGCCCCTCGGGTTTGGGGCATGCAGAGCTGGGCGTTGGAAACTGCCCCTCTTGGCTTCACTGCAAAAATGACTGGGAGAAAACTCAGGTTGACCAAGTCCTTGAAAAATCAGCTGATTGCAGCAGGGAAATTATTGAAAGTATGTGAACGGTGACTTAAGTTTTAAGCAAAAAAGTTTTTCTTAATATGAAAACCCATCTTTAGTGTATGGCTATAAACAAATTAAAATTAATCACAAATAACTCGCAGAACGTGTGATTTGCCTTTGTTGTGTCATCTTGTCCACCTTCATTTTGGATGTCTGGGCTGGGATGTCCGTCAGGGACTGCTGATAAATGTGAACTGTGGAGCTCTTCTCAGCGCGCGGAAGTGGACATGCATCAGAGGGTGCCTGTTTGTAGACAGTGTTGTGAAAAAATCGAGGCGAGGTATCAATGAGAAGAGGGCAGTCTTCTTGGCTGCAAGGCAAATATTGTTGACCATGTCATTGTGTAGGTATGTGATGAAGAATTTACTTTACAGCCTCTCTCATGAGCATTACTGTTTGGGAAGAGAGACCAAATTGTCTACTACACTGTAAACAAAATATAGCATTGCTCATGGAAATTACAGACTTGCAGCTCAAGAAAGCCCAAACTGGTCATTGCAGGGTCATGACTATGCTGGAGTTGATTTCAAGGGGTAAGAGCATAGCAAAGATAGCCTGCTTTAAAAGTGCTTTTAGTGTCACGGGGTTCGTGCACACTGCATAAGCTGGTGGTATACAGGTGCTTAATTTTTCTGGAGAGTTTTTATTTACAGCTGGTAACAGAATGATTGTGAAGATGGAAATGTCTGATAGTTTTTTCTGAAAGGATAGAGAATAATCTTCCAAACACAGAATGTCAGAAGCTCAGCTGATATTATACTTGAACTTGGTGTATCAGTATCTATTGCCGTCTAAAAGAAAATATTTGCAAAGAGTTGGTTTCTGCTTTGTTTTGTTTTGTTTCATATTTTGTATTGTGTGACTTACTGTGTTAGTAACTGCTGATCCTGGCAGTGTCCTTGAAGGGAAAGATTGCAAATAATCGGTTCTTGCAAGACCAGGGAATTTGAGGGAATCGGCAGAGTATCTGCATTTGTGAGATTGCTCAGGAGCTCCCTGGATTCTCCACCACTGCTTTAAAGGGACCAAAATACCAAAAAGGATGATGTCAGAGTTGCAAATGTGACAGAAGGATGTTGCCATATAATGTGCATAAATGTTGTAAATATCTTGATCTTTGTCAAAATAGCCTTCGGCTCTGTATGAAATGGGGGAAGGAGTGGCAAAGGGTTGAAACGAGGATGAGAAAGATTCGTTGTTTTGCTTCTTTCAGGGATGACTTTAACATGATGTTTTTAGAGTGTTTTTGAAATGCCCTTCTGGGAGGCCCTTGAGCAGAAGCAGAACAGATGAGATGCGCTTCCAATACTTATTGTCACTGACTGTCACGGAAATGTGTTTTATTACATTGCGTTCGGATGAATGTCAGTAGATAAAAGTAAAACAGGAGCAGCGTTGCTGTGCGGTCTGCTAACACTCAGCTTCGGCCCCTGCCGTCAGGGTTTTCAGCGTCTGTGGGATGCCAGAGGACGTGGGTGCGCTTCTCACCGACGCAGTTTTGGCAGGTGGGCTGTGGTGTGGTTTGGCCAGGCCTTGTTGTGTTCAGCCAAATATGTGAAATGCAAAAGCGGAAGAATTTATGAAGACTTTGGAACATGTAACACAATGCTTTGGTGCTTATGGTTTCTGGTGTTAGATGACGTGAGTTTACTGAATGTGATTTGTAACTGTACCCTTTAAAGTAAGTAAATGATAAAAGTCACATTCACAGGTATCGTGGTGCACAGAGCCGCATGGTGCTATCAGTGATGCAGAGATACTCTGCTACAAGGGTGTCCTGCTAATTGTTAAAAACTTTGGTGTCACGGTTTGTTTCTCTTGATGCAAAACTCTGAGCTTTGCTTTCGATAAACAAATGTGGTTGGTAATGGAACTGAGGAAAACTTTTAAATAATGTCATCATTGAGTCTTCACTGGTCATCATAACCTGCTATCACTGAGTAACGGGAGTCCTCTTTACACGCCAAACACTGTTAAGCAAACTGGAATGGTAAATAAAATCTGTGAACAATGAACTCAGTAGAACAGCCATATCTAACATCAGTAAAATGCTGGTAGGAAAAATAATTAAACGCCCACAGTTACAAGAATGTAAAACGGAGGTGTTGTTTTGTCTTGTAGCTCAAGAGGCACCAGCCTTGCTGCGGCACCTTATGGATCAGACAGTGAACACCAGTAACTCTGCCATGTTGGAGTGCCAGGTTCGTGGCATCCCCGAGCCCCAGATATCCTGGTTCAAAAACCATGAGGAAATACAGCAAGAACCAGGTGAGAGCTCTGTGTACTCGCCTACCTTTTACAGCCTTTTTCTTTACCCATCTGCCTTAGGTAGCCATTTGTAGAGTCATTGGCATCGGTACCCAGACGTAAGGAAGGAGTATTGCCCAGGTATTACCGGCGGGCAGCAGCATGGGTGCTCTGGGTTGTTCTGTCTCACTCCAAAACCTCAGCCAGGCTGGAGGTGTAGACACGACGGGTCTCTGTGGTGGAGTCAGTGGAAAAAATATAGCTCTCAATTGGCATCTTAGAAAAGTCATCTCCAGAGAAGCATATTTCTCTCCATTTACTATAGAGGGAGCCTAAGGATCAGGTGTCTTGGCCAGCGTATAACTAGGCAGGAGAAAACCGAGCTTGCGTGGTGTGCGTAGGAGTACCAGGGTGGGTCTGTGGTCAGGCATGCAAAGTCTGCTCTTGATTCACAACCTAGTCACCAGACTAAATCCGTACCTGGGGTGTCCAAAAACGAAATGCGTCTGCTGGGAGCAGAGGAATTCAGGTCTCACGCAGCAGAAAGGGACAATTTCCCAGGTGTCATGCTGCAGCTACAGGAAAACTCTGGGAGATGTTTACAGCTGTGTCTGGCATGTGGTTTCAAAGATCAGCTAAGGCTACATGTCCAGCTCTGCTGGCATCACAGTCACGGAAGTGTTCCTTGGAGATTGCAGGTGGAGATGAATGATGGGGGAAAAGGCAAAACCTTTCTCATGGGAGTTCATCCACATTCGGATCAGAAGCACACAATGAGCCAGTGTTACAGGCTCAGCAAAAATGTTCAAGGAGGTTTGGTCTGTAGGAACTTGAATCTTAAGCGTAGTCTTCAACAACAACGTTTTAGAAAGTTTGTGTTTATGGTTCTGTCCTGTGTTACTGGAAATTACTATAGCATGAATAAAAACAACTGGGAAAAATTCGGAGGAATTCTCCAAGTGAGTTATAAGCCCCTGCAGACTTGCAGCCCAGGCACTGAACATAATCTAGAACCAGATTCCATGAAGGTTTACAGTGACCATGTCGTTGTAATGTGCATTATTAACATTATCTTCTAAAATGAATGTTATGTGTCTAACTTGGGTGTAATGTAACACATAAAGTTAGGAGCCAGGAAGATCTCTCTAGAGGGTAGGTCAGAGCACTTTAGTTAGGTGCCTAAAATAGCTGGTGGGAATACATTCTGATGGGACAGTAGTTTTGATGGAGCCGAACACACAAGTGTGTACTTGACTGCACATTTCCTGGCTGTACAGTGCCTTAGAGGCAGTCCTGAGGCCAAATCTGCTCCTTACCCCTTCCTCACTTGCTGGAGCATTGCCCAGGCTGGCTTCTGGGTTGACCTAGCTGAAATAAACAAGATGTTGAAAACTTTGGGTAACAACTCCTACATTTTAGGGTCCACCTCATGGGACCTCTCTTTGCACTAGCTGGGGTCCTTCTGCGAAGGGGCCTGTTGTTCCATGCAAGTGAGATTTGGAGCTGGTCTGCTGCCCATAAGGCCAATGTGGATGCACAAAGCTGTGTCTTGGAAGTGCTTTAAGCTTGAGTGGCTTCTGGGGCAGACATACACCTGCAAGTGCGGTAATCAGACCACCCATTTTCCAAAAGCTGGAGACATGCTGAAGAACTCACCAGGATGAAAGTCTAGGCAGAGTGCTAATCAATATACACAGTACCAAGTGCTCCCAAGATCACTCCTTTAGGCTGAGATTTTTCATTCACACAATTGCTTTGTAAACACTGATTTCCAAAAGATTCCCAAAACATCCAAGCATATTTGGCTTTCCTGCAGATAACATTGTGCTGTGCAGTCTGTGGCTCAGATTTCTTTCGAGAAGAACTTGAAGCAGATATTATTACACAAGGGCCTGTTTTTGTTTATATCCTGGCTCCCTCTCATTGCAAAATATTTCATTTCACAGGAATAATTTTAGGGCCCGGAAGCCGAATGCTGTTTATTGAAAGAGTAAAAGAGGAGGATGAAGGACTATACCAGTGTATAGCTACCAACTTAAAAGGGTCCGTGGAGAGTGCGGCATATGTCACGGTACAAGGTAAAGCGCGACATTAAATGGGAAGAGCGAGCTTGCCAGGGTGATGTTCCTACTGAGGCTGGAAGGGTGGGGGTATGACTTGGGGCTCATGTGGTGATCTCTGAAGGCAGCAATTTGAAGTAAGTCCTAGCAAGGGAAGCATACCAGGTTGGAAAGGAAGCTTAGCAGGAAATGCTAACTCGGAGCGTGTTTACACTGACCTAAAAAGAAGAATTGCTTCAACCCAACAAAGATCAGGTCAGGGTAGAAGACAAATGTAAATTTAGTATCGTCAAAACAAACAAAAAACAGAATAAGGAGCACTCTCCTACCCACTCATTTTCCCAGTTCAAGTTACTTCCATGGAAGTTAGAGGCCTGGGATATTTTCATTTGTTTATTTTCAATGTAAAGTGAACTGCCAAATTGGACTAGAAGATTTTAGCCTAGCGATAGCTACACATGCATTTTTCAAAGGTACTTGTAAGAAGTAGGTATGATCTACTTATTTTTGTAACCATTGCTTGAGTTATTTTGCTATTCATTTAAATGTCCAGTGTTGTTCTGCCTTCTGCCAAGCTTGACTCAGGCCTGTGGCAGTGACTTCTATCAAGTAATTTTACATTGCATAAAAACAAAGTTTATTCAGTGACTTTTCAGTTTCATTGAATACCCTTTTGGTTCATATACTATGAGATAAGAGAAGCAGGTTGACATTCTCCATGTAAGTCGGTGCCATCTATGAATTGAATTTGACGTAACCTATCTTATTGGTCTCATGTGTTAAGTAAAAGTCCCAAATGCATTTAGTTTCTCTTTATAGAAGACAATTTGACTACCACTAGGTCTCTCAGGCTGGGATTATGTCTTTGTGGAGGTTCTCATACAACGGCTAAATGTATCTGAATACTACTGAGTATTTGGATACTACTCTACAGCAGAAGATAATTACAGCTAGTAAATCAGTATTGATTTTCTGCCACGAGTGTGTTAGCTGTCTCAGTTAATGGTGATCACTGGTGATACAATGATGTTTTTGCTTTAAAAGGTCAGGGATAAGTATACGTACCTGTGGGCTGGCCTAACTTGTGTAATCAAGGAGTTAAAACCACCTATCTCCTTACGGATAATGCTAAGGTTTTTACAGCTGCTATAATAGCTAGACTCATCCTACTAATAGATAGTCCTGGACAATGTAATTCATTATTGTATTGATTTTTAACATCATTGTAGCTTGGCTATTTATTACAACCACAAGCATTCTGTCAGATGGCTTCGAGGAAGTCATATCTCCCGGTGCGTGGTCCAGAGGAGAGAAAAGAGAGCAGCCAGGAAAGCTTCTTCTCTGGTTACATGTCCTGAGGGACCACTGGCAATGTTCTTGTGTGACTCCTATGGGAGCTCTTAAATAAGCAGGAGATGAAAGACTACCATATTAAAATTATAGGTTTGAGACTGGATGAGCAAAAGAGACAGAGTTTGTCTTATCTACTATGATCGAGGAAAATGTCTTTCCACCCTTTCTCTTCCTACCACATGAAGGGATGTCACTGGAGGGTTTTTCACTCATTCCTACGCTGATCTGGAGTGTCTGTCCCTCTCCCAAGGAACGGCAGCCTTTCACTCCATCCCTGAGCCTGGAAGGATGAGACCAGGGCTTAAACGTGGGGCTTTCTCTAGGCTTTGACACTTGCTTGTCTTTCTGAGAAATACAGACCCCGCCACTGCCGCTGTGAGCACCGAAGCCTTCCCTCTGTCCCGGCAGCTCTCGGAGCGTGGGGCTGCAGATCAAAGGGAGCGGAGCAAAGCCTCGTGTTGATGGCCACGTTTAGCAGATTGGAAGAGTAGTCTGTGAATGAGTCAGGAAGGAAACCGTCTGCTCTCTTTATTTCCTCTGAAAAAACATTCTTATACTCACAGATAAAACAATGTGTTATTTTTGTACCCAAGATGGATGAATGGATGGTGGAATCAAAGGGCCGTCTTTAAATAATCGCAGCCCATGTTTGGTTTGGAAGCCACGGTGGCCGGGCTGTCTGAGGAGGAGAGGGGCCGCGTTTGTGGACATGTCAGAGCAAACCGTCCGCTTGCTCTTGGCTGAGGAACTGAAGAGGGAGTGAATCTGCAAGGACAGAACAGGAACAGCAAATGGCTGCCAGAGCACCCAGCAGATGGAGAGGAGCGTGTCCCTAAAGGCCTGGGGACACAAGCTGCTGGGCACAGGGGGAACACAGGCTGTCTTGGGCAGCTCTCCTTTGGGGGGGTCACCCTGCTCGCAGGGTGGATGACTTGCCAGGAAAGCCTTGCCCTGCTTCTCCTCCTGGGGACCCTCGCACTCCCCCTCAGCGGGAGCCAGCGATAGAGGTAGTTGCAGAGGTGCTGCACCATTTGAAGGGGTTGTGTTGACCAAGGAAGGCGCATCTTTTACAGCTCATGCTCACTGAAATGCGGATGTATAACAAGCAAATGAATACAGCAACATGCTCTGTTTTAAAGCCGATGCTCGATAAACTTAACGTGATCCCTGCTGATGAAAAGGAAAGCATTGCATTTATTAAGCATCCACTGAACTATTCCAACACTATGAAAATGGTGTTTGCTTTTTAAATAACTGCCTGGTTTTCTATCTAGCTACCTTTCTGACTTTGTATCTCAAAAAGTTGTTGGGCCTTTTGGGTCAGTCTGACTCTGCAGTCATCAGGAATGTTTCCATGAAGTTTAACTGGAATTTCCTCGGCTACAGAATGAGGTTCAGCCTGGGTTATGTGGGTGACCGTAAGAGAAAAGTTGAACACCAGGGGACACTTAAACTCACGTTACCGCAGAAGACCACCAAAGGGGGTTGGAAGGGAGTCCTGGAGGTCTCTAGTTCAACCTCAGCTCAAACCAGGATCATCACCAACACTACATCCAGTCAGTGATGGCTTTGTCTGGCCAGGTCGTGAAAACCTCCAAGGATGGAAATTCCTCAGCATCTGAGCACCCATCCCAGTGCTGCACTGCCGTGATCATGGGATCACACGGATTAAGCAGGGTAGATCACATTGGTGTAGGCCTGAAGGATGCTTCGGGTGCAGCAGAGTGGTGTTGGTGCCCCAGGCGTTGCTTTTTCCCCGAGTGACACCTGACACAGAGCTGCACCTCGATGTTTAGAGCTGAAATTCTAATGACAGAGCCCATGCCAGCCCAAAACTTGAGCTCGTGCCTGGAGGGGTCAGTGCATTAGTCCAGGCTCTCGTCTCCATGCACCTGCACGGTCCTGGTGGCTCCTGTCGCTGCTGGGAGAGAGAAGCTGCTGCCGGTGGCACTTCTTCACTCACCTCCGCAGCGAGGCAGGCGGATGGGGCAGAGCTGCACGCAGGGGAAAGTCCGTGTCTGATGAGGTGGCTGGGGGTAAAGGTCTGGGGAGGGTGTCAGGGGGAGCCAGAAAACTTGGGCTACCAGGCAGAGAGAGGGATTTAGTCCTGCTTACAGCCTCTCCAAACTCTGCTAATCCTAAACCTTCTGAGTGTTCCTGCCTGTTCTGCCTCAAACCAAACCTTTTCCTACCCAGCTGAGAGGCACACAGCCAGCTCTGGCTGCAAAGCTGTTAGCAAGACTAGGAAGCTGGCATTTGATAACCCAGCCCAACCCCAGCCTGGAGAAATGCTTTCTGGTTGCCTAAATTTGCTCGGACGTTTCAAAGACAGCATCTTCGCGTCTCTTCGCTAGCTCCTGGGCAGCATACAGTAGAGGTTAGGGAGTTGCTGCCTTCTACCCCAGGACTGACCATACTGTGCCTCATGTGTTTTCTGAGTCCTGCCATATGGAGCAGCAGCAACAAATGAACCTTCAGCCCCTCCAGGTTTTGCTGAATAAATGTCAGAAACTATTACTCACCATCTGCATGGGTGCTGCTCAGAAGCAAGAGAAGAGTACCCATATGTAAAAGGAAAACCTGATGCCGGAGGGTAGGCAAGCTGTATTAAGCTGTATCATTTATGCCATCACTATGTCCCATATCTAAATCAAGCCTTTAAAAAAATAATTGTGAAAAATTAACAGTCTTGGTGGTTTTGAGAAATAGATACTTTATATCTCCATTTATAGTTGCAGTCATATTTTTCTTCAATGAGCTTTATTCTCAAAGCTCCAGAATACACATGCCAGAGGAATCTTAGATATAGGGCACAAACACAAGTCTGATTATCACCTTTAGAGAGGGAAGATATTATGCTAGTTAAGCTACAGCTACAGGAAGCAATTCAACCTCTGAGAAAAGCTCTGTAGCCTTGTCTAAAACCCGGTAAACCCACCAGTGAGACATCAATCATCCCTTTTTCATGTGTCAGGAGTAACACTGAGCTGCCTGGGGTCTGAAACTGCTGCAAGTGCAGTTGACAAAACTACTGTGAATCATGCTCAGAATTACTCCTCCTTGTCCTCTCCTCTCTCTGGAGGGTGTATCAGAATAAGAGGCAGAGCATCAGGTTTGGGGTTTTTTTTTTTTTTTGCATTTGCTACCAATCAGATGGAAAACATATTGTGGGAAGTGTGGTATTTTGACACAATCACAAGATTTGCAAAACAGACCGCTTTGAAACCGTTTTATGAGTCCCTAAATATCAGTCTGAAGTGAATTTTATTTTGGCTTTTTTTGTAAGATCTGTCAGTGGGCTTTAATACTCTCCAGATTTCTAATGTTCGTGTTTTCTTGCTGCTCCATTTTCAGTCGTCGTTGTTGTTTTTCCCTTTCTGTGCTTAATCTGTTCCCTGGTTTGGAAAGCTCTCCCAACTCCTTGACAGCCGGGTTCTGCGAGGGGCTGCTGGGCAAGGAGAGGGTCCCATGTCCCCTCGGGGAGCCTGGCCCCGTGTTACTGATGTGACTGGCAGGAGACCTGAGGGCACGGAGCCTTCTGGGGGACCAGCAGGTTGGGGGGAGCACTAGACCCTATGCCCCAGGTTTCTGCCCGGTGGGGATGGGGCTCAAGACCCCCGTGCCACACTTTGTATGAGCTGAGCTCTCAGGTGCCACACCAGATCCCTCCAGACCACGTGAAGAAGAGCTCACAGATTCCTGCTGGCTGCATTGCAAGCCTCCAAGGGAGCCCCCAGCTCTCCCCCAGCGAGGTTTTTGGTGAAGGCTGGTGGGTTTCCAGTGCAGCTGGGTTGGAGGTGTGGGCTGCAAGGCTCAGCCGTCAGCACAGAGTAGCTCGCTGAGCTGGGGCAGAGCAGGCGCTGTGCCCAAGGAAAAGCATCAAATATCCTGGACAGCAAACCCAAGCAGCAGGACCTCTGCTCCTCTCTTGGATGTGGGCTTGGCCAGATAGGTTTTGCTGTTGGGGGGTGGGGAGGGGTGTGAAACTGCATGCACAGGCCCACGCACATTCTTACACAGAGAAAATTTGGCTAAAAATACCCTGCAGCTGAATTTCCACCTCAAAAGGAAATTATTGTCTGACTGGCCACCCTCAACCTGGTTTGCTTCACATCCTGCGCCCCAAAGAAGAGCTGACTTTTTACTGAAAAACTTAGGGGTGGATCAAATGCAATTTTGCTGTGTTCAATACAATGGCTTTGCTGGGGAGACCGTGGTTTTTTCCAGGCTCTGCAAGCCAGTCCAAACAGAGATTAATACCCCATTGAAAAGAAGCTGGTCCTTCCTGGTATTTTATTTTAATGGCAAAGAAACATAAAGTGCCCTTGCTTTGCAGATCATTTTCTAAAATGTTTGCCACTTGATTTTCCCAGGCACATCGGAGAGGTCAAACCTGGAGCTGATAACCCTGACCTGTACCTGTGTGGCTGCGACGCTCTTTTGGCTTCTGTTGACCCTCTTCATTCGCAAGCTGAAGAGGGTAAGAACAGAGAGGGAGCTCCTCGCAGCACCTGCATCTCCTTACCAGCCCTTTGCTCCTGTGTGAAAATCCTTCCCAGGCCACTGGGATTGCTGAGTCTACAAAAAAAAAAAAAAAAAAAATCTGATTTACTTACTGCTTGCCTTTGTTCCCTGTGCAATCACCAGGCTGCTGATGGGTGCCCAGGAAAGCATGACTCACAAGGCTGAGTATGAGTAAGCCAGGAACAAAAGCCCGGGTGGGGGCAAAGCTCTGAGACTCACAAGCATTTGGGTGCCTGACTCCCACCAAAGGCATTCCCATTCCTTTAAAATCTGTGGGGGTTCGGCATCTTAATGTCTTTGAAGATCTGAGTGAGTGGGAATGACAGATCTTCACAGAGCATGCTGAGGTCTGGTTTGCACACAGTGTCTGCTGTAATTACATCACTTCCAAAGTGATATTTTACTGAAGTAGTTTTGGTGGTGCAGCCTCTAGAGCAGATGATCCTGTGATCTGGTGATGCCGGGATCAGCTCCCAGCCACCACGGCCAAGCACGTTGTGGCTGGCCGAGCTCCGTGAGGATTGCTCAAGGTTGACTGCAGCCCGCCAGACCATTTTATCTCACCCTGCATTAAGGCCTGGCTGTATCTTAGGTTTTACACTGAGAACTTCTGTTGACCGATGGGAAAGCAGGGCCAGACCTCCTGACCAGGGCGGCATGGCAGCAGCCACTCTGCCTGCCTTCCTACTGCCACAAACTTTCATAAGGAGAAAGGCATGGAATTTTGAGGGGGTGGGAAGAAAAGTAGAGGTCAGCTGAAGCTGTGGAGAAACTTGGTAGCTGTAAGAGAAATTACAAAGCAAGGGGTACTAGTTCTGTACTGCTCACCAGTAATGATGAAGCAATTCATAACATGACTGCAAACCCTTGGGAAAATGTAAGTTTTAAACGTAGCAAAGGGCTGCAGATTTTTTACTTTATTTTATTTGTTATGATACCAAAACTTGACATGTGCTTGTTAGATTGTTAAAAGATATTAAAAATAATAATCGTTGCTGTAGAACAAGGGACTTTAGATGACAGGTGAAGGTTTCTTTCCAGGTGAGCCTTTCCAGCTAGAGTTGCTCTATGTTTATGGTCTTCACTGGGTTTCTATTACAAATCCTTACCCTCATGGATTTGTGTCTGGAATTAGCTCTAAATTAAATTTCATATACAAATTACTTTGCCACAACAGAAAAAAAATACTTACATGCTTCTCTGAGAGCATTTCCTTAAAGCCTGCATGTTATGCATACAGGGATAAACAATATACCTAACAATTCTTCATCATTCAAAATATTGTTTCAAATTTCTAATAGTGCCAAAGATTTGGTATTCAGTGTATCTGAATAAAGAACCATAGGAAGCTCTCCACACCTTCCCACTCCCCTGTTGTTTTTTCTGAGATGGGACTACTTAAAAGCTCTTCTAAAGTGAGTGGTAGGAGCAGTCTGGTACACAAGTCTTTATCAAGAAATGCTCTTTTTGGAGCACCACACACTTCTGTTTCTATCCATATCCCACTTATCCATGTCCTGTCCAGGGTCAGTGGATGGTTTGGAGCCAGGCTTTATGCCACCTGACTTTTCCCCAAGCATCAGTGTAATCCTTCTTGAGACTAACTTTCTGCTTATTTGGGATGGTGAAAGGCAACTAAAAAAGGATCTATTAGCTACTGTCATTTTAGTCTAGTTATGTTTGTAACTGAAGCATACACACATAGTAATTTCCTTCTCAAACAAATGCCTGGAAATGCATGTATTAGGGACATATTTCCAAGCTGCAGAGAGGAAAGTTGAAAGTCACAAGAGGCAGTTAAGGCAACAAAAAAAGAATATGTAGATATATCTGTGTGTTTGTATCTGTGCCCACCTGCTGTTTCCATGAGTTTAGGAAAAGAAACACAGAGTCTTAGTTCAACAGATTTTCCATAAATTCCAATGAATAGCCAGGAAATTAGAGCAAACACTAGACCTTTTCTCTAGAAATATAAGTACGCCTGTGTCAAGAAAAGTCCAGTGAATTAGAATGGCAATCAAGGTGATCTTTGAAGGAAAACATATTTCAAAATGGAGGGACTGCAGAGAACTTTGAAATTACATTCATCTTTCCTTACATTTTGCATGTGAAGTGGATAATCCATTTGCTCAGTAGAAACTGAACTTCTGGCGAATTAATTTGAAATTATGTGTTTGAAATTACATGTTTGAGTCTGGGTGTTTATGAATTCCTCCAAACTCAAATAATTTCAGGAAATTCGTCAGAAATTATACCAAAGAAACAAAAAATTCTGAAGATTTGTAAACAGTTTCTGAAATGTATAATGTCTAGTCTCCTGACGACTAGTCTTGCACAACTTCTAACCACATATGACCTATGGAAAAAATAAACACTGGCAGTTGAACTCCATCTGTTGCATATGGCCACTTCTTGCTTTGCACAATCATGAAGGAAAGTTATTTTTATCTGCAGTGTTTAGTCATTTGCCGAAAATATTTCTCGACTGCACAGAGGGCCTGTATCATAACACCACATGTTAATACAGAGCCACATGGATTTCATTGAAGAAACCGCTATGTCACATAGCAGGAAAGCTAGAGGAAGGCATTTCTTTTACATAAAAAGTCTTGCAATATATAAAAAAGCCAAAGGGGACTTAACTAAACCATCTATTGGACTGTGAAACACTCAGTCCCATGGACAGAATTAACTTGGAGCCCTTGATCCAAACGAGAAGATGCTGACAGATACCCTTATCCTCTTTTTCATTTTGCAATATTTTTTGTTTTCTAGCCTTATTCCTCTGAAATGAAGACCAATCATTATCTGTCAATCATAATGGATCCTGATGAAGTTCCCTTAGATGAGCAATGTGAACGTCTGCCTTATGATGCCAGCAAGTGGGAAATTGCAAGGGAAAGGCTTAAACTAGGTAATATTGGCATACTTTACATTGGGTTTGCGGTGACTGAATAAGTTGTACCTGTAACTACAGGTAAAGAGGAGGTAGGTGTGTTTTAGACACACAGCACAGAGTACTGCCGGGTTCGGTGTGAGCTATTCCATAGCAAGTGCCCTAGTCCATGACTGAATTACAGCATTTAGGACTGACTGACTCTGTCTACCTGACTTTCCATATGCGTATTTTTGACTCCAGGTAGGAAAACCAAAATAGAATCATAGACTCATAGAATCATTTAGGTTGGAAAAGACCTTTAAGATCATCAAGTCCAACCATTAACCTTACACTGTGAAGTCCACCACTAAACCATCTCCCTCAGTGCCACATCTGCACATCTTTCAAATACCTCCAGGGATGGTGACTCAACCACTTCTCTGGGCAGCCTGTTCCAGTGCTTGACAACCCTTTCAGTGAAGAAATTTTTGCTAATATCCAATTTAAACCTCCCCTGGTGCAACTTCAGGCTGTTTCCTTTGGTTCTATCACTTGTTACTTGGGAGAAGAGACCAACCCCCCCCCCCCCCCCCCCCCT